CTGCCTGCCGGCTGCCACTCAGGGCTGGGGGTCTGGGGGCCCTGCAGGTATGTGCTCACGAATGCGGGCGAGCCCCTCAATGAGGTGGAGGCGGAGCAGATGATGAAGGAGGCCGACAAGAACGGGGACGGGACCATCGACTACGAGGGTGAGGAGGGAGACGGGGGTGTGTGGGGGCGCTGGAAGCCCACAGCCGGGCAGGCCGGGCACTGACCTGTCCCTCTGCTGCCAGAGTTCGTGGACATGATGACCGGAGAGTCCTTCAAGCTGGTCCAGTAGGAGCTGCTGCTAGGCCTTGGGAGGCCTGCTGACCACCCACCTACCACGCCCTGCCCCACCCAATCCCATCCACCCACCTGCCCTGCTCACCCACCTGCCCCACCCACCCCAGAAAAGTAGCCAATAAACGCGCCCGCAAGACTCCTGTGGCTCCCCCGCCCCAGCCTGGCACAGATGTGGGTCTGGAAAGGGGGAGGGTTTCCCAGAGGCAGCCAGGGCGCACAGATATCACCTGCTGTGATATCTGATCCCACCCATAGCCGCAGCCCGAAGGTGAGGCTGGTGCAGGTCGAGCCCAAGCACTCACCCTGCCCACCTGCCAGGGTGGGGTGGCGGCCCGAGAGCCCTCCGAGCACGCCCTTTCCTGCAGGCAGAGGCCACTCAGATACAAACTTTATTCTCCAAAACGCTGTGGAGGCCCAGACCTGTGGGACTTCCTCTGGGCAGAGGGCCTGCTGGGCCTGGGCCAGGGGCTGGGGCTGGATGTAGCAACCTGTGTGTGTGTGTGTGTGTGGGTGTCTGCCTGGCGTTGCATAGCAACGAGGCCAGGGCTGCAGCAATGTGCTGGACGTCTGGCCTTCCCGGGGGAAGGATGGGGAGGGTGGCTGGGGGTCTCCTGGGAGCACAGTGTGGCTGGTGACATCGGGAGACCTTCCCCACCCCCTTGGAGAGGCACCAGGGTGACAGCTGCGGGGAGGGGGGGGCGGCTGGGCTTTGAGGCTCAGCTCCTAGCTCTTCGGGGGTCCCGGGCCTGAGGCCCCGGGGAGGGGGCGAGGCTACGGAGGAGGTGGCTCTTCCTGTCCGGGTTTGGCCATCCTGACAGCCTCGTCGTAGGAGGGAGGCAGCTCCAGGGTGTAGATGGGGCTGTAGGCGGGAGGGGTCATGGCGTCCAGGTCCAGCTCCGGGAAGGGCAGGGGCAGCCGCATGCCCAGCGGGTACTGCACGGAGCTGTAGGCTACGGGGAGCCAGAGTGCATCTGTGGGCTGGGGCTGGCCCTCGCCCGCCCGCCCCCAGCAGGCAGGGGCCCTGGGGAGGGGCGGGCACTCACAGGTCACAGTGCTGTGTGCGGGGCTGTCGCTGTCCCCAGGAAAGAGCGTCAGGTCGCAGGGCTGAGGAGCCGTGGACAGGGGCTGGGCGTGGGCCCGCTTGCGGAGGCAGCAGAAGCGCACGCAGCTGGCCGCGACCCCACACAGCAGCAGCAGCAGGACGGCGAGCAGGACGAGCCTGGGCAGGGGAGCGAGACCCTGCCGCTGGACGCACCCGCGCAGGCACCTGCTCCCCGATGGCCAACCACGTGAGGCAGGAAAGTGGACGGGGAAAAGGAGACCAGAGCCCTGCCGGGGTGGCTCAGGGGTTGGGCATTAACCTATGAACCAGGAGGTCAGGGTTCCGATTTCCGAGTTGCGGGCTCCATCCCCAGTGTGGGGCGTGCAGGAGGCAGCCGATCCATGATGCTCATCATTAATGTTTCTCTCTCTCCCTCTCCCTTCCTCTCATCAATAAAAAACATTTTAAAAGCATTAAAAAATCTGTATCATTAAAAACACACAGACAGACAGAGAGACTCTCTCTCCAGGCCGGACACCTCCTCCTGGCGAGAGCAGGGCTGCGTCCGGCGCTGGCCTGGCTGCCTCCAGGCTCCACAAGTGGCCTTGGGCTCACTCCCAGGACACGCTGTCCTGGGCCGCCTGCACGATCCAGTGCCCAGGCCGGCGACCATGTTCCAGGGGAC